ATTTTTAATAATCTTTGAGTTTACATTAAATGACTACACAGTCACTGAGAGTAAATTTCACCTCGGCAGGTGTTTATCAGAAAACACTGTAACCAAATTTAAACGGTCTCTTCCATCAATGTTTTCCTCTGTCTTGCAGAGAGCAGTGACTTAACTCATATGGTTCATAAATTTACAACTTCTTTGCAAACTTCACTCGATGAAGCTGCTCCACTGAAAAAGAAACTAATCAATCAGAGGAGATTAGCTCTTTGGTTCAATTCTGAGTTACGTACTTTAAAACAAACATCTAGAACCTGTAAAGAAAATGGCGCTCCACTAACGTTGAAGAATCTTACTTATCTTGGAGAGGTAGCCTGCTAACTTCTAAAAAAAGCTCTCCGTAAAACTAGAACTTTATACTATTCATCTTTAATTGATAAGAATAAAAATAACCCCAGGTTCCTTTTCAGTACTATTGCTAGACTAATAAAAAATCCTCTCTGTTGAACCATGTGTCCCTACAACTATAAGCAGTGATGACGTCATGAGATTCTTTATAAATTAAATTGTTTCAATTAGAGAGAAAATTCAAACCATCCTTCCTACTATCGCCTCTGGTTCTGTGTCAGATGAGACAACTTTAAAAATGTCACTAGAACCTGATTTATGTTTGGACAGTTTTTGTCCTGTTGAGCTCTGAATGGTCAAAAATAATAACCTCATCCAAACCATCCACATGTCTGCTAGATCTCATCCCAGCCAGGCTTTTTAAAAATCTATCTCAATGTCACTTTATTTCTGTACCACATAAAAACAACCAAAGCGCTTTAAAGTTGTCCGATGAAAAAGAGTAAAAAATTTCCCTTAATTAATGTCCACATTTTTGATCTGCTTAATTTGTCTAATGAATAGTTGCCTACCACAGCATTTTAAGATCACTGTAATTAAATATGTACTTAAGAAACATTACCTTGACTCAGGAATCCTGGCCAATTATAGATCTATATCTAATCTAACTTTGATCTCAAAACTTCTAGAGAAAATAGTTGCAGGTCAGTTACGTGAACATCTACAAAGAAATAATCTGAAGAGTTTGAGTCAGATCTCACCACAGCACTGAATCTGCACCGGTGAAAGTTCCTAAACATATTCTCATGTTCTCTGACAATGGACAGGTGTCTCCGCTGGTCCTGGTACACCTCAGCGCTGCATTTGATACAACTGATCATAATATTCTATTATAGACCAAAAAAGTCCATGCTCAGTAATCCAGGTATACAATCCAGTATTTTTCAGTCAGGTCATCTGGACAGTTTTTTTTTTTTTTTTGTGCTGAAACGTTTCGCCTTTGATCCAGAAGGCTTCATCAGTCAAGGAAACGCACAACAAAACTGATTCTTCCCCCGACGGCTTACTCCAAAGTGGAACAAACCAGTTATGTTGGTGCTAAGATGGTGTCTTTGGCACGCCCCCTCCTCCATTGCCGGCCCTCTTCCTTGTTGATCGTCGTGTGGTAATAAAGGTAATAAAATTATAAAAGGTGGTAAAATAGTAAAAAGTGATAAAATAATAAAACATGATAAAATAATAAAAGGTGATAAAATACTAAAATTTAATAAAACAACAAAAATTAATTAATTAATAAAAGGTAATAAAATTAAAGTTGAAAAAATAAAAAAGGTAATAAATTATTAAAACTTAATAAAATCATAAAATGTAATAAAATAATAAAAGGTGATTAAATGAAACTGATATAAAATAATAAAGTTGATAAAAAAAACGGATATAAAATAATAAAGGTGATAAAATAAAACGGATATAAAATAACAAGTTTTTTTGTTTATAATTGAACCTTTATTTTACCAGGATAAAATCCCATTGAGATTAAAAACCTGTTCTTCTAGTGAGTCCTGGCCAAGAGGCAGCAACACATACAACACTAAAATGACACAGTTTAAAAACGTACATGTCATCGAACTGGCCTGAAAAACTTTTAGTTTGGATGTAAAAGATCAAGGTCAAGGTGTTATTTGTCATTTGCATCGCATGTGGTACATGTGCTGGAAGGAAATGGTGCACACAGGTCGCATTAACAAAAGCACTGTGAGGTGAATTCAGTCAGTCCCAGAGGTTCTTGTAGCGAGTTCCAAGAAGACGGAGCAGCGTGAACGAAACTTCTGACCCCATTCAGTCGGAGCAAAAGAGACAGAAAGAAGCAGCAAATCACGAGCGACAAGTCTAAGAGTCAACATTTCTCAGTTAAACTGCAGGACGAGTGTAGTCCGGCAGGAGTCCCAGCAGTGCCTGTTAATAAAAGTTCACCAGAGGGAGTTCCTTCAGGCAGCCAGAGCAGGTCATCCACCGGAGCACAAACCACAGCGTGCGTTGACGTGCTGCAGTTTGTAATGACGCTCGGAGCAGAGAGGTAGACGCAGTCGAGCGTCTGAAGACATCGTGACGAGGCAGTCATGTCCAAACATGTCCATGGTCCAGCACACGCATGAACGTTGCAGAGACCAGCTGCTTTAATTTGAGCCTTTTCACAAGACTTTCCACATGAGGTCTGAAAGTGAAGGACTCAAACTGCCCAAATATTCAAATGTGTGAACCAGCTCCATTTCATTTCCACTGCAGGAGAACACAGAGGGGATGGTTTGTGGATCTGGAGAAGTACATCAGTTTAGTTTTATCTGCATTAAGGACAAGTTTTAAATTGAATAAAGATCAATGGATAGCAGCAAAGTCTTTTTGTAATGGTTCAATAACCTGAGTAGCAGAGGATCCAGTGCAGTAAATAACTGTAATAAAACGGTAAAAGTTGATGAGATCGAAGAGGTAATCGAATAATAAAAGATAATAAAGTAATAAAATGTAAAAAGTAATAAAAGGTAGTGCAGTAGTCCCTCGTTTATTGCCCGGTGTAGATTCCAGACCTCCCTGCAGTCAGTGAAAATCTGCGAAGTAGCGACATTTTATTTATTTTAGTATTTCTATATATTTTAAGGCTTTAGAAACATTTCCCACGCTCTTGCAATGTTGTAAACTCAAACCGACGTCATTTAACAGCATACGTAGAGAAGCCCAAAGCTTCACGAACAACGGCAGCTCTGCTCTGACTCGTTCCATTTCTGCAGACCACCCTGCAGCGTGCCCAGCTGCCAGCTCTAAAGAGTCACCGATGGGTCTGGAGCTCTGGTTCTGCTCTCGTTCCGTGTGGCTCACTGAATCCGCTGGCGCTGAAGTCACTAATAAGTGCAGAACTTTTTCTGATCAGATCAAAACTTTCCCTCTAATATTCCAGCAGAAAGCAACGGGGCTTCTGGGCGGGGCCCAGTTGGCTTCTGGGAAATATAGTCCTTGTGAGCAGCAATAACGCGTAGGCTTATTAAGTGAAAACTACAAAAAGGCGGTGCCTGTCCAAAGTGTATGTATTTTTTTGGATAACTTTTTACTGCACAGTATCCTGGCTTCAAACATCTGCTAAGTTCATGGAAACACCAACTCAGACGTGTTCCTGTTTTTAGTTTTTTACATCGCTTTACAATGCAGCTGTTTTAGTTTTGCTTTTTTAATCTCGTTTTATTTTCACTTGTTCTTCTCAACTTGCACACATCCTTTATGACTGTCCACTGTCGTCCTCACTCTTTGTTAAACCAGGTCTCTCTTGTAAACGAGTCCCCGAGGCTCAATGGGACTAACCTGTAGAAATAAAGGTTGAATGGATCCAGTCGATCACGTGAGTGATCTTAAAGTTGACCGTCGTGGCGTGTACAATTTTTGTTTTCCTCGCGTTCAATTTTACTTTGAAAAACCACGGCCGTGGAACTGCGAGGGACTAGCGTAAACCAAAGTGTGGTGCAGAGCATAACGAGGCTGTGGTGACGCTGAAGGTGCAGCTCGTTAGCGTTTGGACTGAAGTGGTTCTGCAGGAAGTGGAGCTTCCTTCAGGAACTCTGTGGACGCTGACCCCTGAGGTCCTTTACATCTGTGGTTCTGAATCAGATCCAGACCAGATGTTTCTCAGAGCCACCTCAGTCTGAACGCTCGGGTCTCGTTTCATCAGACTTTTATTTTGACGGGGTGGAGTCCGTTTTGACCTTCAGCTCATCGCTCCTGAGGAGACGAGAAGATCAGATGGACCAGACAGTCCTGTGTGTCCAGCTGGTTCTGATTGAACTTCAGAACCAGTTCTGGATTAAACACACCTGAACAGGTGAGTTAAACAGAAACACAAGAAGTCCATCTGTTCAACTTTCAAAATAAAAAACACCTGAGAGCAGGTCAGAACAGAACCACTTTACTCTTAAGGGTTCTGATCAGGAACCAGACTTCCTGATCCAGGTTCATCTGTGAGTACTCCTGGACTGGCTCAGGTCTTCTGATGTCTTCTGTTCTCTGGCACAGAACCACGCGGGTCTTCTGGGATCTCCACAGAACCAAAGGAGCCCAAGGCGCAGAGGGAGGTGAAGGCAGCGGGGCGTCGGCGCTCCGCCTCCAGGAGGAAGTCTCACGCAAATCCTGATCCAGAAAACTACCAGTACAGACTCAGTCCTCATTCTGAGCTGGATCCTGACCTGGCAGTCCCAAGTCATGGCCCTGAACCACTTCCCTGTTTTGAGGAGAAGAACAGAACCAGTCCTGATCCTGCTGCCCTGCCCACAGACCCTGTCTTTGAGGTTCACACCCTGTCTCCTGCCCCAGACCTCAGACCAGATCCCGACCCATCAGAAGAGGACCAGCCCAGTACGATCCACAACCCTGCCCCCACAGAGGCTGAAGGGGGCGAGGCCAGTCCCATGGGGCTTTGTCCAGTGACGAGTCCCCTTTCCAGTGCCCCGGTGTCCCCCTGTGTACGGCTCGAGGACGAGGACTCGCTGTCCCCTCTGTTCCAGAGGTCCCTGTCGGAGGACTCGGGGGGGTCGCCCACCCCCAGCCTGGACCTCAGTAAAAAACGGTGAGTGACGTTTTATTGATAGCTCACTGAGTCAGAGACGCCTCATGTTTTAAATACCGTGCTTTTATTGAATTTGATTGTTTTACTAAAAGGTTTTAAATGACTTTTTATTCAATTATTTCTATAAAGTTAATTATAGTTTACATTTAACAATGGGTTTAAATGTTACCATTGTGGTCCCAGGTTTTCCTCACAGCCTTGTATGTCTCTGGACCAGATCCCAGATCTGAACTGGACCTGGTTCAGCTGTTTCTACCGTTTCCTGTCTCTGCTCCAGGTCCAGTTTGTAGGACAACAGTGCTCTGAAGCTGGTCCTATAATAATAATAATCATCATCATCATTTTATTTAAAAAGTGCCTTTCAGGACACCCAAGGACACTTCACAGTAAGAAACATATCAGAGAGATTGTGTAAAAACTAACAACAAGCACAGCGCAAAGATCAACAGGAATAAACTGAAGTATAAAATACATACACAGTGTTTCCCCTAGTTAGCTTGCCATGGCGGGGTGCTCATCTCATCCATGACTTTTGCTGATGGGGGAGACAAAGACATGTCTGAGCGG